AAGGCAAGCCCATCTTTATTTTCTCTCATACTGCAAAAAAAAGAAAAAAAAAATAACAAAAATTGTAAGTAAAAGGAAAAACAGGTGGTAACTAGCCTGAAATGTAGACATGAGGCATTGTTAAAAGAATACTGGTCTTAAAATTAGGAGATTGGATTCTAGTCCCAGCTTCTTCATGATGAAGTCGGGTCATTTTTATCTCTCTGAACCTGCTTTCTCGTTTCTAAAATAAAAAGCGTGAAGCAGACAACATCTCAGTATGCTTCAGATTTAAAACTAGTATTCTAACTCCTTCTGTCATCACTGAAAAAGGTACCTGTTTGGTTATGTTTTACTAAAGATTATTTTTATCTCCTATCTGAAAGAGATGTATTAACTAAAACATGGTCGATCTTAAGCTTTAAATTCTAGACTACAGTTGTCTCTAGTTCTTTTTCTACATCACTTATTTAAGTACTTATCCATTTATTAGAATATTTTTAAAAAGTAATCATCTATCAAGATATGGAAAAATAATGACATTTTAGTTTATGTAACCAGCCTATATATAAATAACTTTTCTACACCAGTATGGTCTGTAATCTATTCCCATACCTGTGCCACTTGTGGTCAGAAATACAGGCTAGTCACTTGTGAATCCTCAACACCTAACAGTAACTGCAATACAGAAGTATACAATAGTTCTTTAATAAACTAACCTGAATCATCTAGATCCAAATATTTACATCAGATTAAGAGAAATTGTTTTAAAATGATTATTAAAACAAAAAAAGAATATCAAAAAACAAAAAGCATGCAGATTTACTTTAAATTGCTTTTTGCACAATAATTTGTCAGACGCTAGCATTATTAATTCAGGGCATCACGCAAGTACTTTAAAGGTTTTCTGAAAACAATATTAATTTTTTAACTTGCATTTCTGTTACATTTCTTTTCAAATCTTCTTTATAAATAAACTGGTAAGAACTTTACATGTGGAAAATAAGATGACATCTGGAATAAAAGGTGTTTAAAATTTTATAAAGGTACTGACCTTATTATCTGTTTCACAATGAACAAGAGCCTCTTTATAAAACTTAATTGCTTTTTCATAGTCTCGCTGAGCAACAGAATGTTTTGCAATCTCTGCACAAATTTCAGCTGCTAAATGTTTCTGTGCAGGGACTGCATCTGGCTGCTCCATCTGAACACGTTTTAACACTCGAGCCTGTAATTCTCGAGCCTAGAAAAAAATAAAGATTAAAAAGGAATAGAAAAGAAAAAAAGAAAGCAGAAGTTAAACAAGTCTCAGTAACTCACACATG